CTCTAACTTTTTTAGAGAATGTATCCTATGACATCCTTCACTTTTATTAAAAATAATAATGATAAAAACTTTGTAGTATCTAATTATTATTAATAGTACCTATATTCAAGACTTAATATTTTTTTACATAGAAAAATAAAGATACCTATTTTTCTTGTTCTTATACTATAAATTTTTTGATAAGTTTCTAATTAGCTTTAAGAATATAAAATCCAAACTTTAGCTACAAAAATTGTCTTAAAGTTTTAGCATTGTTGCCAATTAATGTATAATTTAAAATAATAAAATACCATATTTTAGTTATAAATTACATAATTAAATTCTTATCATTAATTAATTTATTTATTTATTTATTATAGTCTTTTGAATCTCTTATATCTTGTAAGATTATTTTATCTTTGTTATTAAAAATTGAAGGTGTATAATACAAAGTTTTATCTTATATATTTTTCTTGAATCCTAATCAAATCATTATATATATATATATATATATATATATAAGATTACAAATGAAGTAACAAATTACATTGCAAGGGACAATACATATCAACATCTTCTAAAAATAAGAAACAAATAATATCTTTTCAAATTTAAAAAGATAAAAAGAGATGCATATGAAGATTAAGACTAATATTGAGTAAATATATGTATATATATATATATATATTATGGTCCATAGTCTTATTGTTCTCAATTTCCATATTCTTTGGTTACTCAAAGTTATACTTTCTCAAGGCCCTATGTAACTCATACAAGAGATTTGGAGATCAAAAGGGATAATTAAGATTGACCAACTTTTGATTCTTTCATGATTTTAGATTGTTGAACTTTGAATTACAATGGAATCAATGGTTGGAAAATCCCTATAGATTTGGTGGTGTTGCGCTTTCATGTGTAAGTTGTTGGTGTAGGAAGTGTCTTGTGGAATAAATTCACAATAAATTTGTATTGTTGTTCATCTTTTTCCAAAGAGTGCCAACTACACCAGAAAAGTAAAAATAATGTTGAACTTGAATCCAAAAAAACAAATAACATTGTAATAAATATACCCATGATTGATAGCAGTAATGGATTTGTTTAGGAGTAAAATAATATATTGGAATTGGTAATTTTTTGCCACATCAGCGTTGTGGTTGGAAGGCAATGCCTGAGGTTGTATAGAGGAACATTTTCGTTGGATAAATGTAAACTTCGACGGATTCTTCAAAGATCTCCGCTTTCTCTTTGTTTTGACTTTGGGAAAAAAGGCCGTTTTATTCAAGCCAAAATGTGTTGGAACACATCTTGCAGTCTTGGCAAACATGTCTGGGCTTCAGCGGATGCAGAATCCATGATGTTTGTGAGCATGGTCAACTGTTAGGCCCAGCTCAAGCTGAGATTCCGGAGCCGATGGTTACGTGAGAAGAGAGAAGTGGGGGCGAGGTGGGCGGACAGGATGGACCGGAGAGCTGTGGGGGAGGGTCGAGGGCACTGAGGGGCGAAACGCGTGGGGGAGGGAGGGAAAGGTGGTAGGAGGGTGCAAAGGCCAGACATGACGGTGGCAGGAATCTCCAAAGCTTTGGAGCCCCCAGGGGGCCTGGATGCGGCGCGTGGCGCAGGGTTGCTGAGAGTGGAGGGCGGCAGTGCAAGAGCAAGTGCAGAGGAGGGCAGGGGGGCGAAGAGCGGGGGTGGGTGTGTTTGGTGGGGAGCGGGTGCAGGGTATGAGTGTGGGTATGCGTGCGGCGGTGTCAACATCGGGGCGGTGGCGCAGTTGGCTAGCGCGTAGGTCTCATAGCTACGAGAAATCCTGAGGTCGAGAGTTCGAGCCTCTCTCGCCCCACGGGCCATCTGGGGGTGTAGCTCAAATGGAAGAGCGCTCGCTTTGCATGCGAGAGGTACCGGGATCGATACCCGGCGTCTCCACTCACTCATCCCCCACGCTTTTTTTCTGCTCCTTCTGCTTGCTTCTCCCAAACACCTCCCTCGTCACCCCCTCTCTCACCGTCACATTGCCTGTGCCTGCCACACCCAAACCGAGCCCATCCTCCGTGACTCGCAGTCCCCGAGTCCCCGGAGGGGGCTGCGGACAAACATCCATCCACTCCGCTCGCCAACCGCCCACCGTCATGGGCGAACATCGCACCATCGCTCCGCACGCCTTTGGGCGGATCCCTGCCGAATTTCAGCTCCATGATCACACCCGCCTGCCAAGCCCACCAAATGCTCACCCTCACGCATGGCCCCAACGGTGACGGTTGGCGCGCCCGGAGGGATCCTCAACACACTCTCCGCAGTGGGCGCGTGCTGGGCCTTGCCTCCGCTGTTTTTGCTCTCGAGATGCGAGATCCTACACTACGATTCCACTCCTGATTCATCACACGCCCTCGGTCACCGAGGGTCGGGGGATGGGGGGGTCAGACAGGGGGGGGTTGCCCTTTGTAACAAGGTATTTGGGGCGGGCACCTCTCGCGCAGACGCGCGACTCCTCCTCTCATCATTTTGTAAAACCAGAAGGATCTACCGTCGTTGCGTCCCCCCCCGCTTATTCTAGCCTCGCCGCGCCACGGACCGACCAAAACCATATGGGTTTCTTCCCACCAGCGTTCGCTCTCTCAGCCGCCGTGCCGCTGCTCATGAGGCGCCCAGGTCCCGCAGCATCCGGATGCCACCGATCGTTTATTTTTCAGGCGCCCAGGTCCCTCAGCATCCGAATGCCACCGATCTTTTATCTATCTGATTGGAGTTGTGTTGAGAATAAGTTACTGATCGGTTTTGCTTGCTCATGAATTTGGAGCTAAATCTAATTTTTAAGACCATGGGAGAGTGAGTGTGTCTTCTTTTACAATATTTATTTTCATTTAATTGGTGTGTTACTACGACTGAAGATTATTTCAAGCAAATGCATTTGAATGTGCAATTGATCTAGATTGAGTCCTTAGCGAATTGTATTCCTACTTGGTATGAATCATGTCATCTTTGTTGACAATTAGAAGAACAATATCTTCTAAACAATAGCAACTCTATGTTAGAGAAAATTGTTAATATCATCACAATTGGATCTGATAATTTCTTGAAGATACTATGTGGAGTTAATAAGAAATTTTTGAAATTAACATCATTGTTTATATGATTGAAATTTTCCACCAATTCATGTCAAAGGACATAAGTTTCAAAAAATCAAAACACTAAGAGACCCTTGTGTCACTTTCAAAGAGTAGATATTCACTTAAAGATAGTATATTTTAAAAATAGAATGACAATTGCTAAAGATAATGACTAGAGACTCTTGAAATAAGACTAGAAAACACATATTTGATGATGTGGCCTTGTGATAGTATTTTTGTTAAATCATAGAAGGTAGCATTTTAGTAATTAAGAAAATATTTGTTCTAAGTAGATGTTTCCTTCAATTTTATTTAAGGATTGCATACACATTCTATCAAGTATGATGGGGTTTAGTATAAATGATGGTCTGCATCAACAATTGAGGTGTTATAGATTTTCTATCTTTGCTATCTTTTATTGTAAATTATTAAGTATTTATGTAGTTACTTGCTTGAGGTCATTTGATTCATTTCTTTGGTTTTTAGGTTTTGTTTTTCTTTCTACATTGAGCTTTTGAATGTCTCCATTCCACAATCCAAATAGATAATGCTTATTCTATTAGTTTACCTTGACTTATCTTGCCTAATTATTATTGATTTAAAGAGGTGTTTTAAAAGTGAAAGGAATAATTTTGAAAATTTGAAATAAGTGATACATATTATAAATTTATTTCACTATTTAGTAAAACACCTTCTGTAATTACACAAGGCATAAATTGCTCTTGGTAAACACTTACAACTCCTTCCTTCTATATCAATCAACCATCTATATAATAAATGATTTTTTGTGTTTTGTTTTGTTTTGTGTTTTTTGTTTTGAAATTACATTTACTTTGGTGATTTGAATAAATAGTATCAGCATAGTTTGTATTGTTTTAGTTGGAAACAAATTTATAGTTGTTAAACTTTAATATTACTTAGCATGCTTAAGAAATTGACTTTGTGTTTGCATGTGTAGATGTGCATCTAAAGATATTAAGAGAATATTGTATGATTAATTGATTATCATTTTACCATGTAAAAATATATTTTTATGTATTTATGTGTTTGTTTATGTTTCAATATATATATATATATATATTTATATGTGTTTAACTTATAAATATGCTTTTAATCTAATACTGCTAAAATAATTATATCAATGTTGTCTATGATTTCATGGTTGGTAGTTTCTAATGATCTGTTTTACATAGAGAACCAATATGTGGACACCTTTGTGTCACACACCCTCACATATTAAAGTTATTATTTATACTTTATAAAAATTTTGATAAATTTTGCAATAAATGATTATGTAAATAAAATTGATAAGCTCTTGAAAGTAAATAAAAGAACTACATGAAGTATACCCTTAAATTTCTTCAAATTAAATCATCAAATATAAGAATATCATATGCCATTGCACACAAATCTTATATAATTAATTTATTCTAAATGTTTTCACTGCAAGTGAGAATTTTTCTGTGTGTAACTGAGGGTGTGTGGCATGAGGGATATCCATGCTATCATAAATTATGATAAATTTAAAATAAAAATAGGATGCCCACCTATGGATTATCTTTTTATTATTTAATACAATGCAATATAAATGCTAATTCTTTAATTTTTACACATAAAATTGTTTATTTCATTTTTCTTATAAATAATGCACCTGAAATATAGCACAAAACATTAAAGATTTTATACAAGTTAAAATCTAAACATTTAATTTGTATTTCCTGCTATATGTACCTTTGAATGTATATATATATTTATATATATAGATACAAATATATAATCCGAATTCTTCATCAAGAAATACTACAGAATTATTTTTTTCAATGCAAATTGTATAGTCATTGACGTTAACAGTCACAAGAAGAACATGTCATTCATTATGAAAACATGCAATAAGTAAAATCTTTTCGTGCACAGTTTCAGAGATTGTGTTCATTTTGTATCATGCAGAAGAAGAAGCTGTTGGTTGTGAGGTGCTCTGCGACACATGCAGAATGCTCTCTTCCTGTGGCAAGATTTGCAGCATCGGAATCCAACTGGGAGGCCCATTTGAGTTTTCAGGGTCATTCTATTGCCTTATTCACGTCCTCCTTGTAGTTTCCGCAATTGGGTTTCAAGTAGTAATGTTGATGGAGCACTTGGCTATGCTTGTAAGTGAAGCTTGAGCTCGGAATCGGTTTGTATGTGCTTCATTACTCTGTCTACCTGTCTGAAAGGACGTGCCCAGCTAAGGAGCTATGTTGATTTCTGCGGTACAGCATTACACCTCGGGTGTCCGCCTTTTGAAAGCTGTTTGTGATATAGATTCCACACCAATATGTAGAGCGCATACAGAGTCCTCTCGTAAAGGTGGTAGGGAAAGATTTTCCTTCAGGAGCTTGCATCTGTCTAGCACCAAGTCGCATTCGCACAGCAGCAGATTGTCATTCTCCAGTAAGGATTGCAGAGGGTTAGAATTTGCCACTCATGGGTGGCTGTGGAGTTTTGTAAGGGTTGTAGGGTATGAATCACGGTTAGGGAATCTTGTGCCACACAGGTGTAGGAAGAAAACTAGATCATGGCCTGTGAGTGCCAAAGCTGTCAATTCGCAGAACGAATTGCAGACCGCTGAGAATTTGCGGGAGCAATTGGAAGCGCTGCAACAAGAGGCTGAACAGGTCCGTGGAAGGGGTGGGTACCAAAATTTTCCTCCAACCTAGAATTTGGACTCCTAATTCATAATCGTTGTGATTAAATTCAAGTTTTGAGACCATTTGTTTTAGGGTTTAGAGAGCGGCGGGTGGATTCGATTTATGAATTAGAGATTGACAATTTGAAGGTGTGTGGATAACAGCAAACAGTGCAAGGCTGAGGTTCATGCGCTTGACTCATGTTGTGGAGCAGCTCCGCCAGCGGGCAGCCATGGATGTGCGGAACGGCAAGGAGGATAGTGCTCGGAGTCTGCTTATCGAGAAACAGAAAGTAATGAAAGCCTTGGAAGCATCTCGACAGCGTGCTGAGCTCCTCGAGCAGCTGGCAAGAAAATTAAATGTGGTGTGTAGTTTATCCTGCAGAACGACCTCATTATTGTGCGACACGGTTTGCATACGTACTGTTCTGGTGAAATGTTGGGCCGAGGAAGTATGATAGTTGTTTGAAAACCAGTATTAAGGATGACTTGATTAACCTCTGGAAGTCGATTCTGAAGTCCATGTCGTTTGCTGGCTAGAGGGGGGAGAGAAGGAGAGAGATTTTTTCCGATGTCCTTCATCGATGTCCTCTTGTATCCTCCCGTGCAAGCTCCTTACACAACCACTTATTAACATCAGAGTAGCTAAATGTGTAATGAGTGATGGGGCTATCGTGTTGGGATGTGTAATTAGGCGATTTCAGTGAAAGAGACGCAGCTGATAGCAGCGTTGTCGAGTGATTCATTGGGAATCAGGCCTGAGGCTTCTGGCAATTCTGCGGTACATCATGTTTCTCTAAAAGCAGGTGCACACAACGAAGAGGTAATCCGAAGTGATGCAGATACAGATGACATCAGTTTCACAGCTGCACCAAATTCTGTCAAAACCCTAAATGCCCAAGCGGATGCAGGGCACAATTTGGATTGATGACTTTCTGGATTGGATCTTTACAGACTTGCGGACATCTCAGATTTGTAATTGGCAACGGCTCACCATCCAGAAGCCACACCTGTGAGGTAGACAAATAGAGCAGTATCCAAGCAAGGTCTCTTCTTTGGATGCTTGAGTGTAAATATGCGATGTAGAGACTTGTTGCTCTACTTTTGCAAATCAATTGTGTAAGCGCTCAGATCTCTCTTCATAGTTAAATGCCTCTATGTTCCTCATGTTTCAAAGATAGCCATCAGGGGTGTTGTAGAGTACCTTTCGTATCAGGGGATCTTGATGTGCATTTATATGGATGATGTGATATATTTTATTAACTTGAAGGTGGAAGATTGCAGACGGAAGATGAGAAATATTGGCTGAACCAATTCTGTCAATGAATTTTGAGAAAGTTACTAATTGCATGCAGTTTTTGATGATTGTTCAATCTTGTCATTGATACCTCTATTTTTGTATCAAAAGAATGTTATTGTGTTCATGGTTAAACTTGAAGCAATTCAAATTCTTTTGTTATTCTTGTGTATGATACATCAATCTTACATGTTATTTTGTTACTCTAGAATCTTATTCCTTGGTCTTTGCATCAATTGCAATTAACTCTAGTGTTTAATAGTGTTTCAAACAACATTGTAGATTTATCTATCCATGCCAAAATATTTAATGCATTAATTTATTACAATGTATAATTAGAACAATATTTTATTATATTTGAATAGTAGTTATTTTCTGTATAGTTTTATTTTATCTATTTTTGAAAAAACTAAAAACTCACATATCTTCTATATATACACAATGGATAGGTCTAATCTATTATTCTAGAAATCAATGTTTTTTCTTCAGTAAGAGACAGCTTTTCTTTTTATGTCTATATGTCTTTTAAAATTACATTAATTTCTCATTTTTTTAGACGTCTTAATAAAGAATCTTAAATAATTATTTTAAATTTATTTATCATACTTATGGCATGGTTCTACATATCCTCAACTTTCTAAGAAGCATCAGTTTTATTTTTGTACTAAGTACTAAAAATGGTATCTCTTCCAATATACTTATGTACTATCCATGTAACTACAAATTCTTTTTTTATAGTTTTGATTCAAAACCAAGTATGAAAACCTACCTAAGTTTTAGAAAATAAAAGAAAAACTCCTTTTGATAAGTAGGGTTTTTAAAATCATGTTGTTTTAACAAAGTTTGTATTTTATTTATAAATTATTCTTTATTATTTCAACAAACTTATCTCTTTTCTTATTTTATTTTAAAAGAAAATTAAGACCTTTCAATTAAATTTTTAAAAAATATTTAACTTTATGTAATATTATTTTGAGAATCATAAATATATACATATATATGTATATAGATATGTATGTATGTAAAAAATAGACTGTTATACTATTTTGGATTTGTGGCAGCTAATAATAATAGCAAATAGAAGTATTAATGGATAAAGTTAGTGCATATAATTTGCAATGACTACAATTATTTTAGTATTTAATATATATGGCTAAGATGCACAAATAAAAAAAATAAGTAAAAATATAAAAGTTGCAACACAAAATTTAAAAGATATTTTACACAAAGAATTATATTATCTCTTGTATATTATTATGTTCATATTATAATAGTGCTACTTCAAAATGCATACACATGTTTTATCAAATAAAATACTAAAAAGAAAATGTAACCCACTAAAATATTTAAAATATAAAACAAATTTAAATAAAAATTAATCATGTTTAACAAAAACAATTAGAGTCAAGATTAAAATTATACAACCAAAAAAAAATAAACTAAAACTAATTATACAACCAAAAAAAGAAATGAACACGAATAAGAAGGTTTAATCAATATTCGATACTATATATATATATATATATATATATATATATATATATATATATTAAAAAATATCACAAACCAATATTTATAAAACCTGATAATACCAGATTTAGTTTAATATTATAAAAAATATTATCACATTTTTTAAAATGATATATTGAAAAATTCCGATTTTTGTAATAATTAATATATAGATGTCTAAAATAAAATGGATTAGGAAAAAAATTATAATTTATTTTAAATATAAAAATATTAGTTATTTTTTAAGTAGAAGAAATTAACAAATCTTCTTTTTAAATTACAGGTTTAGATCGTTTAAAATATAACTCTTCCCTTTTTAAAGAATAAAATCATGGATATTGATTTTAAAATTTTCAATATAGACTTATTGACAATGTCTATAGAATTTTTTAATGAAAAATACAAAATATCAATATCAATATTAATATTGAATAATAATCCAATTTATTTACCATATAATTTTTTAATATTATATTATATAAATAATACGTATTAAAATAATGTTTTTAATAATATTTAAAAAAAAATTACAAGACATGTATAATAATTGTATAATAATTGTTAATATTTGGAGATGGTATTATCAAGAGTTACAACACTATTTAAGATAAAAGGTACTAAATTGTATTTTACACTTAAATTCAATAGTAAATGATGATGAAAAATCAGGATATTTTTTTACTTAATAACTAATATTTCATTCACAATTTTCATTGCTTTAACCTATCTATAAAAATTTTAACAACAATTGTTTGATTTCATATTTTGTTTATCTAGTTTCAATAAAATTTAACATGACTATTATTATAGTGTGTACTATGTAAGTTTCTTTTTATCTCAAATAGACAAGACAACTTCAAATTCTTAATATAAAATAATGAAATATAAAATCCTTAGTAATGCAAAATAAGTATTTTTGAACAATACAAACTTCCAAATTTAATGTTCAGGTTCTTTCAAAAGGAACATCTTCACATATTTAATTATAAGAAGTATATAGTTCTATTTGAAGACGTTCATGAAGATTATAATAAATTGTAAACAAATATCTGCAAGGAGTCATATCTAAGTTGAATTGAATCTTAGATTTTAACTCAATCAAGTTCCCATTCTTTTGAATACTGCTGTAGAAAGATATTCTTGTGCGCTTGATACTTGCAAATTATTTTGCTTCACACTGGCATTGTTGTACAGTAACCATCACTACGTCAAGATACGAAAGACTTAATGAAAGCATATCAGTAAAAATTTCCATGGATACAAAACAATATTGCACGTTTACACATGTCAGTGCTGTATATGTTGATTTTGACACATATACAATAATACTGATTTGTCCATTCAAGGCTAATCGCTTTAAACAAAGTGGGTACATATGGAAGTCACTGTATCTGTAATCATGCAGACTTTCTAGTTTACAAGAGAGAAGCAAATGAACTGATTTCTACTGTGAAACTATGGCTCACTGATCCCTCGGCTCATGCACGAGGGTTTCGTGCCATTTCCTTAACAAATACTTTCTGATTTTTTGCTACATGTGAAGGGTCTGGTGGCCGGGAAAGGAGGAAAGGAGCACATCGGGTTGTTAGACTCCTCACATCCAGATACTCTACATTCTGATTTTAGTTTCAGTTCTAGAAGTGGCAACAAGCGGTGAATCAGCTCTTGGACTTTGAATGCTTAACAAGCCAGTCGATGACGATGTCAATATTGGTTGAATTTTTGCATGAGATGGTGTAACAAGCAACCTCTCTATCTGTAAGTCCAGAGAGTCCCCTGTAAAATCAGCCAGAGAGCATTCTAGTTAGTACCAAAATACTTCTGTAGCAGGTGAAGTGCCTAAAGCAATCAAATGTAATGTACAGAAGAAGTAGAGGAGCAAAACTTAGTTCAATTTGCTCAACTATCACTTCTAGGACACTTTCATAGAAATGCAATCCATGAAATAACTTAGTAATTCAACTAGAATCACTTTCTAAACAAGGCATTTAGTTCAAGCTGCCATTATTGGGTTGCGAAAGTTTCGATCAACTATGTAGTGACAGCGAAAACAAGAGGTCAAAAGCAAACGTACATCTGTTCAATAAGCGCCTTTTTACTAAGTGCTTCAGCCTTATCGATTTTGTTGCCCAAAACAAGCAAGGGGGTCCCATAAAGTGAAGGCTTGTTCAACAAGTCGTGCAGTTCATTCTTAGAAATGGCAATATTGTCTTTGTCTGCTGCATCCACGACATACCTGAAACAGTTACCAGGTCACCTAAATGCTTCAAAATACATACTTTCAAAATTTGAACCACAGGAGACTGCAAATGGTCGTGAGAAAATGCTTCAATATTTAGAGCCATCGCAGAAAACCAAAACTTTGGTGGAAACACAGATTCTTACACAATTGCAGACACACCACGACAATAACGCTCCCACATGCTCCGGAATCGGGGTTGGCCACCGAGATCCCAGAGTTTGATAGTCACACTACCCTTCGTCACCTTGCGCATGTTGAACCCCACCTGCATTTCATCACAAAAACGAACAAATTTCAACAAAAAGACATACTTAAAAACTTACATCAACAGCAAAATTTACGCCAATAACTAAACTGCGAGTAATCAAGAAGCAGAGATGCAGCATGTAAAATGACAAAAAGCTCTAATAGTGGTGTGAAACCGATTCCAACGACCCCCTTTAGGAGACGACGTACCGTGGGTATCATGTCCTCAGCAAAGCTACCCGTCTGCACAGAAGCGACCATGAAAGATTAGAATCAGAGCGTGGACCGAATCTAACCGCATGGAAAGCCAAACAATGCATTAAATGCCAGCTGAACGAACATATTTAACATGTAAAAGACATTGTCTGCAGGTAATGATGCCTGAGTATTATACAACACTTCTAACGAAGTAACCAAGCTGGTCATATTATCACGTTTGTCGAAATTGTTACTCTCTTCCAAAATAATTTTTTATACCTCCGTTTTCAAATATACTACTAAGCTTTACAGGGTGAGAAAGCGTAAACATCTACTAAGCAATCAGGTGAAGCAAAGAAGATGAATGCCCCTGCAACCTTTTCTCACGTCATCAGGCAGCTAAATAATTCTAGAACATTTGGGTCCTCAGCCAGCAAATTTCTTTTCTGAAGATCATACTTCCTTCGGCCAGTATTTTTATGCTTTTGACGAGAACTATGCTCTCTTGGATGTACATTTAATGAGGGACCCTTGTTCTTCTACATGAAGCCTAAAAACTTAGGAAAGTATTCAGTAAGTGAACGCAATTCTAGCCTGAAGCGCTGCTGGGGAGCTATATTTAGGGAATCCAAACTGGTGCGTGAACAAGACAGTGTGTAAATAGAAGTATACAGAAATAGAATGGGGTTAGAGGCACGAACCGCAATGACATTCACGAGAGAAGTTTTGCCAGCATTTTGCAACCCTATCAAAGACAACTCCATCTCTTGCTTGAAAAATAGGCTACACACGAGAGAACCATTCCATCCATGTCAGCACAGAGTCAGCATTACACAGAAATTATACCACTAACAATCCCCAAGTATATCTTCTGTAAGCAAGTACATGAGCCACAAAATGAAAAAACACCACAAGAGAATTCAGCGAAATCGAGACTTAGCAATACATACAGGCCAAGGTTGACATCTACCTGCGCAGCCAATTCAGAAAGTAGTCCCATATTCCCATTGCAACTGCACAATAAGCACCTGTAACTCAACGAGTTCGTACCCCAAATCCTTCAAACACTACCGCACGCTACAAGGCAAATATACCACCCTTCCACACTCTCCAACCACGGGTCCAAATTAGCCCAAGACTAACTTCAAAAACTCCCGCAATCCGGCCTTCGCAACCGTGACATATACACCTCTTCCTGTCAGCCTCCAAGCTTACGAAAATTCCCAGAAGTAAAAGCGAATCCTCGCGAACACAGCCCCACAAGCGCAATCCGCTTCCGTCGCCGCTTGTTGTCAACCAATCCCGCAGAGACCGTAGAGACACACCTCCCGAGAAGCGAGCGATTCAAGGCAGCTAAAAAGAAACGGCGAGAAGGAAGGAGGGAATGCAGCACGCAATGGTGCGATGCGACAGCTTTAAAGAAGGCGAAGGGTGACGAAAAGGTCAGAAGCAGGAGCAAGGATGAAGGATCGAGCACAAGGAAGAAGAGCGTCACAGCATCCCAGAATCTCAGAATGCCAACTGAAGACTCGTTCCTGGCGCTTGAGAAGCACCCTTCCCTGCCTACGAAACAGACGATGCATCTCAAAAGCTGGGCCGGGCTGGGTCGGGTCGGGCGCGGCCGGGTGACAGGAAGGGCCGCCCATTCCACGTGTTGCGGTGTCTGGTGAAGGGGCGACAAAGGCCGCAGGGGAACTGTTCTCCGTGCCTTGTTCCGAATGCGAAGTTTCCAGGGCGTTTCCTTCTTTCATCGTGGGGGAAGGCCTTCCCCTAGTAAATGTTAGTTAATTGAGGTTTTTAATGTACAGTTGATAGATTTATTTTTATTTTATTGAAAGAATAGAATTGCGTGTTTCATAATTCTAATTGGAGATTTCAAAAAAAAAAATCTAGGTGTGATGTTAACTCTATTTATCTTCTTGAGTTAATGTTTTAAGAATTACTGTGTAAAAAACTGATATTGTATATACATAAATAAATAAATTCAATGTGATCCAGAAAATATTTAATTAACCATCATAAAAATCGCAAACAGGTCAGCACAAAGATCAAAATAATAATGTGTTTTGTGAGGAAGTAGCAGCAACAGTGTCTTAAAGTAGTAATCCATTACTCACTTATCATAATAATAATAATAATCTTGAAGCAGTAAACCATGACTAACAATAAATTAAAAAAAAATCAAGAAATCTATGAAAAATAGATTTTTTAAATTAAGTGAAATCATAATTTTTTTGAGTTCAATCTATTTTTTGTACTCCATCAGCACATATTGACTATTACTTATTATTTATAATATTAAAATATTTGAACTTATATTTTAAATATATATAATTAAGTTTTTAAATTTAAATAATAATAATGATAAGAATAATAAGAATACAAATACATACTAAACTATATAATATTATCCATCTTTGTTATAGGAAGCACCATTATACAAAGTAGAAAAGGACAACTTAAGAGTAACACTCAAGACTTATAAGGTTTTTGTGACAAGATCTTATAATAAAATAATAGATTACAATATTTCTTAACATACACAAGCTTGAGCCAAAACCTAAGAGAAACCTATGACACGCTTCAAAATGAACTTCATAAGGTATTTTATAAGTAATTTAATACATTGTATTAGTATTTAGAGATCATTTTAACAAAAAGTTCAGAAGAGTTTTTTTATGATGAGAATGAGAAGACAAAGTTTTTGCAACTAAAATAGGAGCTGAATCCATATAGAATTGAGTAGTTTCATGAAGAGCAACTCATTATAAGTCAACTTAAATTTCTCTCTCTCTCTCTCTCTCTATATATATATATATACATATGTATTTCAATCAACATCTTATAATTAGATGCCAACTATTACTAGCAATATTTTTGAGTTGAAGCTTATAGAAAATAAATAGAACATGAATTAATGAATTTAAAGAAGATATGATGTAAGTCTACCAATTTATGATTAATTAAGAAAAAAAATAGAAGAGCAATAAAATAACAATAGTTTTGCTAACACATGTAAGATTTTAGAAAATAATAATTATCTTAATATTGACTAAGATAAGAAATATAAACTTAGGTATTCATTCAAAAGTCTGAATTTTAAAAAAAAGAAACATATATATGAAAAGAAAAAAAGTTACAAAAACTTAATATGTAGTTGAAATTTAAGTAATTAGTAAAAAAATAAATAAATTTGGGGATCACAATAAATGATAAAAAAATATTAATGGAGAAATAAAACTTTATAATATAAAAATTCTGAAGAAATTAAATATATATTTTATGATAGACTTAAGTTATCACACAATTATTAGAATATTTAAGAAATTATTATCCTATTAATTATATCAATATTCTATTTTTTAGATATTAAGAATAATTTAAAGAGATTTTACCAAATAAATAAAGAAGATACATTAAATTATACAGCTTGAAGAGTAATAATCTAAGAGAAATATATATATTAGCCTATAGAGGCCTCTATACAAAGAAATAGTTTTTTTTGGAAAAATAATGTAAACGTCTATAGAATATCTAAGTATTAAAATAATCTTAAGTAAATATAACTTATATTTAAATTTTCTTATTCAATAGATAGAAATTTTATTACATAAATATATTTTGAAAAATAAAAATAAAAATTTCCAAAGTTTTATTATTAACAAATAAAATATATTTTTATATTATATAGGATATAAACATTTGATATATTTTATAGAAATATTTAGAATATAATATACTTCTAAAATATAAATAAATTATAAAAGTAATATTATAAAAAATGAAATATTTTTTAAGCTAAATAATTTATTGGATGAATTTTTTAATAAAAATAATTTTTTATTATATCAAATATATCAATAGAAAATTTTAAAAATCAAAATATAATTATATTTGAATAATTTAAAGTAAAAATAAAAACTAAATAAAAATAATAATAAAATTATTAAAAATATGTATAAATAAAATTTTAAATAAGATATACAAAATTTAATTTTTTTATATTTAAAAATTACGATATTATTAAATTTAAGTTATTTTTTGGGTATAAACTCTACTTTATTTGATTCATCTATAACTCCCTAAAATTATTTCATAATGGCTCAACTAGGTTGTTGAATTAAATTATATTTTTTTATATCTTTAAATTAATTTTAAAATATAAAATTTAAATTAAATATATATATATATATATATTCAATATTAAATTATTGTCTGTAAAAATTTTGAAGTGAATAAAATAAATTACAAAATATTTTAGTAAAAGAGTATTTTCTTAATAGTTAGAATATTTATTGTATATAAATAAAAATTGAAATAATTAATATAATAGAATTATTGAAAAAAAAAAATATATATATATATATATATATATATATATATATATTAGAAAATATTAAAAAATACAAGATCTTTAATAATTTATCTTTTGTTTGATACATACTTAATAATATTTTAAAAATATTTATGCACATACATTTAATATGTGTTTTTGAACACATATTTAATCCAATGTATATTTTGTATGTTTTAAAATTTAAAACTTTAAAATAATTCTTCATTGAAATATCAAATATGATGGATATTTTAGCTCATGCCAAAAAAATAACCTCTTGAATTAATTCTAATTTAAAATAAATTATCTTATAATAGTAATTATATAAAAATTAATTTAAAAATTAATTTAATATCTAGTATTTTTAAAAAATTCAAATAATAGTTATTGGTTTTATAACATACTTTAAAAATTAAGAATAAATTACTTTGGTTATATTTCAAGCATGCATTAAAACTATGTAGTTTTCTTATAAATATACATTGATATTTTTATGACTTATACAAGATATTTGCATATGGACTGAGATTTTAATTAAATAAAAGACAAATCTTATAAATATAGATAGATAGATAAATATAAATAAATAGATAGATAGATAGATAGATAGATAAATAGAAGAAGTTGTTAAAGCTTTATCTCTATTTTGATGACATCATACGTTCTTTGCCATGTAATGACTAATTTAGTCTATCTTTATCTCATGTCCTTAATCTTTGATCCTTTGTTTTTGTTGTCTATCTCCAATTTTTCATCCATCAATGTTGTAATGAAATATGGATAAGATATTCATAGTAACAGAGCTTAGATGTGACATTATTCTTGGTATGCTATTGCTAGAAGTAAAAAATAAGTAAATTGATTGGCTAGTAAAGATGATCTCCTTCAAAGATGGTGGATGCAAAGTGACTTTTTGTACCTCCATTTCAAGTGAGGTAGAAAAATAATTTGGAGCTAAAAGCTTATTTGTAAGAATGATCTTTATGATGAAGCAAATATAACATAAGTAACCAGTATATATGGTAGTTCCAAATCTTGCCTCAATGGTGGAAAAGATAGTTGAAAGAATAGAATGGGCAAAGAAACTTGTACGTGAATATCTAGATATCTTTTCAACTGACTTACCTAATAAAGTGCTACTTGATCAAAGTGCCTCCTTCTAAATAAAACTATTGCTTGGGACCAAACTAAAAAATCTGTTAATTTATTGCCTAACACCAAATGAACTTAAAAGCTACAAAAGACATTAGACAAATTCTTAGAGAAGGGCTTCATTCAAAAAAACATGTCACTATAAAGAGCACATGTATTCTTTGCACCTAAAAAAGATAGTGGACTTAGGCTTTGCATTGACTATCAAGGCTTCAATAAGTAGACTATCAAGAATATATATCTACTTCCATACATAAATGATCTTCTTCACTAAATTCAAGGTACAATAATCTTTAGAGAATTAGACCTTTTGAGTAGCTATTAGTAGATACCTATTGCTAGAGAGGATATAAAAAAGATAGTCTTTTGTATGTACTATGAACCATTTGAATGGCTTATTTCACCTATTGGCCTCACCAATGTTTCAACCACTTTAATAGATCATATGAATAGATTATTTTAAAATCTTTTGGATATGTATATAATTATCTTTATTGATGATATCTAAGTCTATAGTAAAATCTTTGAGGAATATAAGCAATATCTAAGAGAAGTGTTGTGTTGGCTATAAGATAGTCACTTCTATTGCAAGGAATTAAAGTATGAACTTTAGAAGTTGGAGGTCATCTTTTTGAAACATGTTGTATCCTCTAAAGCCATGCACATAGAGCAAAATAAGGTGAAAGTGGTGGAGGATTGGCCAATCTCTAAGAATACTTGTAAAGTTTGCTTATTCTTAGGCCTTGCTAGATATTATCATGATTTTATTTGATAATTTGTATATATTGCTAGTTCATTGACAAGTCTATTGGAAAAAGGTGCTTCATTTGAATGGAAATTAGAGTAGAAAAATGCCTTTAATAAGTTAAAAGAATCACTTATTATTGCTCTAGTATTGTACTTATATAATTCTAAACTTTCTAGTATACTTGACATTGACTCTTTTGAATTTGTTATTAGCATGGTCCTTCAACAAGACTTTGATAGTGGCTTTCAACTTATGGCATATGAATTATATAAGCTCTGAAAGGCAAAGCACAAT